CAGTTTCCAAAACACTCTGAGCCTTTTATCAGCTGATATAATGGCAAAAAATAAGTCTATTAAGTCTCACTAGGTTTTTTTTTCCATGATGAGAAAAGTGTTAAAAGATAGGATTAACTGAGAATTGAACTCCTGTGTCTGGCTGATAGGTGCATAGGAGGATGCTAAATATAGAGAATATTCTCTTAGAAAAAAAATAAAAGTGATTCAAAAATCTTCTCTTTGGTTATTGTTCACCTAGGCAGGGAATCCTAAAGAAACAGCTAAAGGGCTGCATGAAGGGAAGAAGGAAAAGTGGTTTCTTCAGTAAGCCTTAAAGGCTTTTTGTTTGTGTAGAATCTGAAATTGCAGAATTTCATGCTGAATTTTCAAGATGATGAAAAATGTAATTGAATCTACATTAAGAGCAGCAGCTTTTCAAGAAAGCATAAACTCTTTTTCTTTCTTTTTTCTTTTTTTTTTTTTTTTTAGTTCGGATTTCTTTCTTAACATTTTCCAGACACCAAAGTCAATACTACTGAGGGTGCCAGAAATACAGCAGTAGTTAATGTTACTAGTAGCATTAAAAGAGATGAGGCCAAGAGGCACTGGAGACTTGTGTTTTTCCTCCCTCCCTCCTTCCTTCCCTCCTTCATTTTGGAACACAGGGACAGTGCTCAAATGCACCTTTCAAAACTTGTGCCCTGTCTGCAACTGAAAGTGGTCTTGCAACTGGTTGTAGGATGTAAGTTATGGTAGTGCAGTTGAGATAGGTACCAAACTAGTGCCTAAAACCTTAAACCCATTGTGTGAAATGATGTAGTGGTCTCAGCTCAGTTCCCAGGAGTCTGAGAGATGGGTTAAATGAAACACCATCACAGTGAGACTGAACTTACGCTCTTGTCGTGAGCCATAGCAAGTAAAGATAATTTTTACACTTCCTTTGGAATGCAAATTTATGGACAAGACAGTTGAGCTTGACAGCTTTTGTCTTTTAAGTATCACAAAACTCTTGTTTAAGCTAAATAGTGCTTTGGTGTGCAAAAATAGTATGCACACTCTAGTATTTTCATGTGAAAAATTGTTTACATGTAGACCTGAGTGCTCATGATGTTCAAGCTAGCCTGGCTTGCAGCAATGGAACTGCAGCTACCTTGGCAATAAAATTAGAGCACGTTGACAGAGGTTTGAAAATAACTGCAAACTATAGGTAGTTGGCCTGCAGCAGTGGGGTATAGAGTAATGATAATAGGGGGACTGGAGAATATACTATAGGGTAAAAAAGTAAGCAGCCTGTTCTTGGAAGGCTATTAAGTCCTGTCTCAATATAAAACAGTTCTGCTGGCTGTGCTGTTGTAAGCATTCTGTGTTTGGAACGTACGTACGAACGTGAGCTACGTTAGCTCTTAAGCCATGTCTCAGAGATCAAGGACTGCAAAATAGACTCCAGAAGTATCTTTTGTTTTCGACCTCTGGAGCGTTTTGGCTGTGCTGGAAGCCCTGTAACACCTGTAGCTCTCTCTAAAGCCATCTTCATCTCTCATAGGCAGAAATATTTACTGAGAAGTAGGGGAAGTTGCCAGGTTTTTTTCTCACCGTTTCGGCACTGCTCAGCTTCACAAAAGCGGATCCCATCAGGAACGCATATGAATGAGTGGATGTGAGGAACACCATTCTGCAATTTAGAGCAGACATGTAAGTAAAAGTGCCATAAATAGTATCTTAACTGGAAAACAGGAGCTAAGAGAGCGAGGAATGGCTACAGCATAAACAAACAGAATGTATTGGTATTTTAGATACCTCGTGCAGACGTTGCCATGGTACTTCTTGAACGTAGGTTTTGACGTACACCACTTGGCAAAATGTTGTCATGAAGTGATTGCAGATATCTATAGCAAATTGTTCTAAACTCGGGATCTGAGAGAGCAAACAGCATTATTAGAAAGAAGCAATTACCTCATGTACAAAACTAGATTTTTCTGGTTGCTGTAAATATTTGAGGGGAATCAGTGTAGTTAAAAACACAGGTTTCTCTTATTCCTGGCTGGGTGCACTGTGCCCTGTCATTTGACCAGCTTGCAGCTCACGCTGCAAATAGCAGCTGCAGTCAAAAACCTCCTGTTCTGTGGTACAGTGAGCTGCAATCCTTGGACTGAAATTAACTGTTAGCCTTACGCTTTGAGGATATAATGCTGAAATAATTATTTCAGCATAGTGAACAGTAATTATTCTGATTAAGTTTTACGTGGTAGAGATGGGGTTTCATTACAGAGACAGACAATTAGCACTACAGATTGTCATTATGATGCATGCAATTGGTGAAGTAAGAGCACAGTTAGAAGAATTAAGAGGAGTCACATGCTTTGAGACCTGTTTAAAAATGCTATATAGGAATAATGAAGTATTATATGATAAAAATTTTTTTAAAAAAAGATGGATCTTGTATGATAAAATTACAAAAATAGTGTTAACTCTGAGGAAAAAAAGGAGTCTGCAGTGGAGGAGGAGAACTTGTCTCTCATATCGCTGAAGGTGACTTCAGTGCTGATCTGACATGCCAATTAAAAATAAAAGTATAACAAACACTTCCAAATGAAGTCATAAGAAACAGTAAGGCTAGTTAAAAAATAAAAAAATACCCCATTTTTTTTGGCCAACACAAGGACAATATTCTTTATGGTGTCTGTAGGTATCACAAGAGAGTTGTTTCCCTCCAGGTACTCCTGAGGAGAAGTCAGACGGAGATGTGTGCACACTTCCACTTCTTTAACAAAATGCTTCTTCCCCTCTCTGTGCAGGCGAAGGAACTTAATTGTGTTTTTGCCATATTCACAGTTGAGGACTTCTACATCCTTGATCTGCAGAGAAAATACATGGCAGTTGTAAAGGAAGTCAGTAGAAGCCTGAGTTATGCTCAGTCAATGAAACATAATGTTTATGGCCTTTATTTCTGTGGTTACCTGTGATAATGAGAATATTTCCATTATAAATCGCAAAGTTCTGATGGGAAGAAAAAATGCTTTAGGAGACCATTATTACATTAGTAGCAGCTGTGACAAAATTATAGTATATTCTTGGGGCAAGATAGAACAGGAGTAACAGTGAACTAGTCTCTCATTTGTCATCTTTGAATTAGTTCTGACTGTAGATCTTCTTGAATCTCCCTTCCATCTCCTCTTTCTGAACCCAGTGTCCCAGTGCACTCTGTCACCTCAGGTGCAGCCGTGCAGAGGGCAGGCAGCATTCACACCTGCACCCTCCACAGGCACCCCACCTGCCAGGATGGGCTGCCTCTCTCTAGAGACAGCTCCCGATTTTCCCTGCCACCAAAAACAGACTTTCCCCACCTCCTACTCCCCTGGCTCCCGGCTCTCCCTGTGCTGCACTGAGCCCTCTCTGTTTTCAGCAGAAGCTGCAAAATGCAGTCAGTATCCTGCATGGCAGAGCCCCTGTGAGCAGCAGAGCCCGGCAGGCACTGCACATCCCCAGGAACAGCCCTGCACATCCCCAGGGATATCACTGCACACCCCCAGGGACAGCCCTGCCCATCCCCAGGGACAGCCCTGCCCATCCCCAGGGACAGCCCTGCCCATCCCCAGGGACAGCACTGCACATCCCCAGGGATATCACTGCACACCACCAGGGATATCACTGCACATCCCCAGGGACAGCCCTGCACACCCCCAGGGTTGGCCCTGTCCTGTGCACGGGGCTGTGGGGACCTGCTGCTCTGAGGCCAAGTGGAAGTGCTGAGTATCAAACCAGTTCTTCTGTGAGAGGCGGGAAGGTTGCTTCGTAAGCAGGCAGAAATCATAAACAAAAAATGGAAACAGCTGTCGTGTTCTTGGCATGGTTTGTGTTTTATTACCTGTCTGTGCATGTTGCAATTCCCAGGAGCAGGGACAAAAGACACTGAGCTGAGCTGGTTGAAAGTGTTTTCTCACAACTGTGTCATGGTTCTGATCTCCCACAAAAAGAATCAGAAGTGAATGTGAGTAGCAAAATTCAGGTCTTGATCCACACCTCCAAAATCCTGGCTACCTGGGATCATTATTTTTGTGTTAAGCCCTGTTATTAAATTTTATCCTGCTTCTGTCAAACACACCCCATGTACCCATGTCTTACAGTGTTGGAGAGGCTATATCCACAAGGTGACAAAATACTGCAAAGGTTGTATTTCTTTTATGCTACAATAGCCAGAGCTCATTGCAGTAGACTTCCTGAAATATCCTATACTTGGTAGCAACATCTTTTAATGTAAATCAGCCCTTTTTAATGTAGGAATAATGAGGAGGGAGAAAGAACATTTTACGCACCAAAATATAAATTGAAGCTTTTTGTGCGTGAGTTCCTAAAAGATTATCAGATGTGAAATTGCTCAATTCATACGTTTGTTCCTCGATAATGCTAATGCACTTAAAAAATTAACTAATTGTAAGTAAACTAATTTGGCCTGGAGATCAGAGCATTTCTCTGGCTGTCAGTCCCTACGAGCTCGATCCCCACGAATGATTGAAGGTCCCCACTGCTGGAGCCAGGACTGGGCAGGGCTCAGCACTGCACCAGAAACTCTTTCTGCAGGCACGGTGCAAGGGCTGTGCTCACTACGAGGGCTGGGTGGAGAATAGTGGGATGGAAATGATTTTGGTTTGCTTGTCTGAACGCCAAGGTTTTTTCAGATAGTTGTAAAAAATTTATATATCGGTCACGCAGCACTAAAAAAGAAAGGGTTTCTGCGGGTTGGTTTGGGTTTGTTTTAAGCAGAATGCTATGAACTTTATAAATAGTAAAAATACAAGTTTTGTCAAAAACATAAGTTGACAGCTGTCATTTTGTCGCCCAGAGAAATTGCGAGCAGTTTGCAGCGGCTCCCAGGAGCCCTTGCCCCGCTGTCGATGGCCGTCCTTGCTGTGCCAGCCCGAGTTCCCACGCTGGCTCTGCCGTCCCGGGCAGCGCCCAGGGTGTGCTCGCTGCTCCGTGGGCAGGAGCCGACAGTAACGCAGCACAACTTCTCCTTTTAGAGCCTACTCGGTGCTCGTCCTGCGCAGCCGAGAAACCAAAATGCCCGCAGGATCTGCATGGTGCCACCCTGCTTTGCTCTTGCTTCTCTCCTCTGTGCCCCTGTGGGCAGCTGAGATTTCCTGCAGGAATGAAGATGGGGAGATAGTCGACTGGTAAGTAAATACCGTGCCGGGGAGAAACTCTGGGTGAGTAAATAAAAACACTTGAGACTAAGCCGCGGGAAGTGGGTGGGTCACTGAGGAGCAATGCAGGGCAATCACTAGTTCGGTCCTGTGAGTCTGCCTGTGAGTAGTAGCAGAATTTTGCACTGGGGAAACCAAGGTTAAGTCATTGAAATGTGATTTCATTTCACTGAACCAACCACCGTACCGCATTATGACTAACTGCAAAATAATCACCGTTTTACACAGCGTTCATACCTCATGATCAAAGGGAGCCTGACGTGTGTAGGGGTGCCAAGGCTGCGCTCGCCAGCGGCTGCCCCGGGGGCACCGGGCCGGGCTCCGGCACAGGGCTCACCTGGCACAGGGCTCACCTGGCACAGGAGACTGAGCCGGGCGGGAGAACCGCCCGCGTCCCGCCCTTGGCCTCGCAGCTCCCGCCTGAACAGCAGCGAGGGGGACTTGTCCCCTTGTCCCCTTGCCGGGGCTGGGGGGAGCGGAGGCTGAGCCGCCCGGGAGGATGCGGTGGCAGAGCCGCCTGTGCCCGGTGACTGAGGAGCAGGGGCCGCTCCCGCCGCCGGAGCTGCCGTCACCCTATAGCTGGTACCACCCCACTGCCAGCAGCGAGCCCAGCTTTGGGTATTAAATGATTAATTGGATTAATGGACTTGGAAGATGAAAGACGCAAAGTACAATTGCATAATAACATATCCAGCTCAGGTTTAAAAAGTGAAATGGGGGCTCTTTAAAAAGAGCACAGAAGCTTCCTGAAGATAAATATCAACCAATTTCAGAAGTGTTTTTCTCATGGAACAATGATTAGTTAGGATACAAGTGATAAAGAAGTAGGCCCATCCTTTCCCTTGCCCACGAAGCTAACTGCAGGGAAAGCAGGTGCTCCTCACTCAAGCAGGAGCACAAAGCTGGCTTTGCTCTGTATTGGTGTAGCATCAAATGTATGCTGTCCATCCCTGTGACTTGTCACCCTTGCCAAGGCCCTTCTGGATAACATGATTTTTTTCAAGAATCAGTCTTAGTTGGTGCAACTACCCAACAACTTAAAGGTATGAGAGATTTCATTTTCATTTCTCCCCAAACTGCAATTATTCCTTGCAGGATTAATTTTTTGTGCTAAATCTAAAAAAAAAACAAACCCAGACCAAAATCTAAACAAACAAAAAAGCCCACATAAAACCACTATTGCCATCTATTTCTTCAATGAAGACAATTTTTCTATCCATATTCTCTGAGAAATTCTTTGAAAGCTGGGGCTAGGAGTAATTCACCTGTGCCTCCATATGAATGCCAGTGACACGGGGCCTGTTCCAGGTGGGAACTTTGGCATCTGCACAGGCAAATCCCTGTTGTCATTGACAAATTTAGCAGGAAGGACAATGGGATTTACTTTTCAATGTGCCCTGACGAAACGAAAGAGAAACTTGCCTGTCTGGCAGGATCATCCTAGTTTATTGAAAAGAAAGAGTCAGCCTTTGGATTCTGGATTTGGTTGCTATGAAGCTGACAGGAGAAGCAGAACTGAAACTGCTGAGAAGAGCTTCCTCTTAACCAAAAGATGCCCTTTCAAACAAACAGCACTGCAGGTTTAATTTTCAGTTAGCATGAGCTTTATGTGAGTTCCTACTATCCAGTGGTTTCATCCTGCAGTAATCTGTAATTACTCATTATTAGTATTCACACACCCTTTCATTTGCCGCTAAACTGGAAGAATCAGTTGCCTTATCTGACTTGATCCCATCTGTACTCCCAGCTGGGCTGGCAGCTCCTACCCCTGTGCAGTGCCTGGGCGGGCAGAAGTCTCCCCCGTGCTTTCATTCCACTCAGGAGCTCGTCCCACCCTCTTCACTGCACCTCACACAGAGGTTGTGGGAGCAAATGGCCACAGGTTCAGCTCTCTAAGGAGGGCTTAGAGTCTTTCCCTTATTCTTCCAAACTCACTGTATTCTGTGGGAAGTTTTCCTTGCAAATAAAAGGTAAAACTGTGCTTTCTGAGAAGTGTTGAGTTGAGGACTGAAGCCACAGATCCCCATTGTTTAGGTTGGGTTTTTTTTCAGTAGGGAGGAGGGGAAGAAACCAAGATGTGATATAGAAGTAACAATATGATTTTTTGTTGTAAGCTGGTGTTCAGTCACAAGCAAACAATGTGACAATGCTAATCATGTCTAAGCAGCTTCACTTTTCCTTGGTTCTCAGGAAAATAACTTTCACTCTGTTCCCACATATGCCTAAGTTCTTGAGAAATTTCCTGTGCACAAATAGCAGTAAAGTTTTTAGACAACTTTAATTGCTAATATACTCAGCTGGCTTTCTAGAAAGAGCCAAAACATGTATCCACTGGGAATTGGCAGGCAATTTGCTGATAGCTCAATGACTAGTGTTTCTGTAAGCGTACCTGCTAAGGTGGATTTGTCAGATGCAAGGCTGTAAACGCCTCCAAAGCATAAATATTCCACTACATTTCAAAGCAGTTTGGAAAGGCTTCATCTACTAATTCCTGGTTTAGCTTGTACTACTGTAACTACTGCTATTCTTCTCCTTTCCAAATCTTCATTTCAGATAAAGGGATTGTTGTGGCACCTGCTGCACAGACAAGCACGGGCAGCTCTCCCCAGCCTTGTTACATAAATCACTTTCTTCTCTGCAATCTGTCATCAGAAGTTATTTCTCCTGAGGTACTTCAGGAACATCATTCAGTCAGTGGCAGCACAGGTGGATTACCAGGGTGACCAGTGGTGTGTGTTTTTCTTCTCCCTCTACACGTGCATTTCCCGCAGATTAAATATCCTCTTCTAGCAGAACACTTTCCTGCCACTTCTTACCTGCATTTGGAGATGCCTTTTGTGACCAATCTGAGACTGTAAATCAACTGGGCAAGGCTTATTCCTCCTGACATACTTGAAGGGTTAAGCACAGGCTGCATTTCTGGTGAATAGTATAGACTGAAAATAATGCCACCCAGTCCTTACTATTGGCGTAAATAACAAATTACTCAAGTACAGCCCTCAAAGAAAGTGGCTGAATTAATTATATTGCAATTAATCCCCTGGACTTGTGCAATGGGAAAACCTGTTTACTTTATCAGGGACTTTAGTATGAACTGAGCCATTTACTGACAATATTGAGTACTCTGCTATTTTGAAAATATTTGTGTTTCTGGCTAAAAGTTTGCAAATATCCAGTCTGCAACAGTTCAGCAGTGTGCAAGTCTCTTGGGAAAAGTAGGATTGGAACAACATTTTATCACTGTGCTTTATACTTATTTAGTAATTGTAAAATGTATAAGTGTAAGATAATGCATTCTTTATTTTAATACCTAATTTTATCTATTTCATATAAAGCCATATTTATATAAGTTGTTTGACCATGAGAATGTTAGACTGGGTTTGGGACCTGAGGTTCTCTACCAGAACCAGGAACAATAGGGATTTGGTGGACGCCAAACCTGGGCTACCAGAAATTCTTTAGGGGTACCAACAGCAACAGGAGTTTGGTGCTGAATCAGCCTCCCTTGGTTGCTAAGAAGCAGAACAAATTGATCTGCAGCAGGTATTGTGCTGCCAAACTGCAGCTGGTTCCTGTGCTGGATCATTGCTTTGAGGCTGGGATGTCCACACTGCGTGCTGGTGGCACTGCTCCCCTCCAGCCGAGGCAATCCTGGAGTTACCCTTCTCTTCCTCAGGTGGGAAGGAGATACTGCTTTACACATTCAAATAGGGTAGTGATAAAAAAGTAATTGCTCTTCCCTGTTGCAGGTTTGCTCTTTACAAGTTACCAAAACATGCTAAAGGAGAGATTTCCATGCTGGGGCTGGAATACATGTACATGGATGCCCTGGCTCCACAGTGGCAGCTTGGTAAATACCTCATCAACACGACACAGGGTGCTCTGGGACGGACACTGAAGCAGCTGTATGACACATATGAATCTAAGGCAAGTGACATTTCATTATTGTTAGTATGTTTACTTGCTATTACATGCAGATGAAATGAAACCACCCAAAATAAGCACATGGAGGTATGGCCAGACCTGACTGCCCAGATCTACCAAAGCACATCAGGGGGAGCGCCTTGACAGTGGGCAGATTATTTGCAGTTTTGGCTACAATTAGAAATTATCCTCAAAATTCTAATTTCTAGTCAAGCTTTTCATATACTTAAAGTATTATCCATCAAAAAAGAGTGTTGGTACATACTCCCTTTGGCTTCTTCTCTGCAATTCATGTTGAGCAATATCTGAAGCTGTGAACTGGCTTGGAACTCAGACCAGGGCCAGTGGTGACTGCTACAGACACTTGTCCTCAGCCCTCCTATGTGCATGTGTTTCCCCCCTCAAATCAAATCTGGATTTTTATCTTCTCCCTGAAATCACTGTGACTGCTCCAGCAGTGATATGCTACTGGTTGGCCTTTTTTTCTCTGCCACAGGGAGACACCTCACATATATATATTTGTGTGATTATAAAATATCACAAGATCTGCCTGTAGTTATTTTTTTACCATCTACACAGTATTGTTGAGAATCTGGGTATGTCTTTGCACTTCTACTCTGGGTTAGTGGTAGGGTGTCATTAATTTATATGTAGAAGAGATTCCCAGAAGTCAGTCAAGTAGTGTCAGTCCAGAAAACTGGCCTGATGCAGGTCTCACTGCAATTGTAATAAACTGTTTACAAACTCTTAGTACATTGGGAGGGGAAGCATGTCCCAACTCCTTTGAAGTTCTTTGTTCAGGGGAAATAAGGTGCGGCCACATGCAAATATTTTGCAAAAAAGCTTTAATTGCTTGCCCTTCTTGAGAACACTTCTCATGTCTATTTTTACTCAGCAAGTGTTTTCACCGGATCTGGTTGCTAAATCAGAGAGGCACAAAAAACAGAGAGGGGAATTTTTTTGCAAGCAAATGCCACTAAACCCATGTAAACTGTCTTAGAATGCATCTTGAACCCTGTGAGAAAGGGCTACTGCAGTGATTGAGAAAACTTCCACTTCATGTTAACCAGGGCCCTAATGCTGAGTCTTCAGGTTTATTTTACTGTAGCATCTGTGGAGACTGTGTCAGCTGAACTGGGAGCAGGATTAGGCTCGTGATGTTCACACAGAGGAGTCCTGAATTCTTCTGTTCCCAGCAGGTGTTCTCTTAAATGCCTTCCTTTTACTCAATGTCATGTTTCAGAAGTGTGTGTTTCCCTGCAGAGGAACACCATTGCCTATGTGATATACAACGATGAGATCCCTGAATCTGACTCCAAAGGGTGGAAAAGTGGACACACCAAAGGTACAGGGAGTGTCCCAACCTACTGTTTTCTCCTTTCTAAAGTTACGGATAGCATCTACTTATCTGTTTGTCTACCTGCATAACTAAAATTCCTGCCTAAAGCAAAACTGGAGAATGATTTGCATGATGTGTGGTTTGTTGTATAGTTACATATGCTGCAGCTTCTGTTTTGGTTTTGGTATGCTTTTGCTGTGTGAAGGATCTTAGGGCTTTTGGACTCTTTGTTTCAAGAGTTGAAACTCATACAGATTCTTTTAGTGAAGCACATTATCCTGTGCTTGATGGGAACAGCAGTACAAGATGTGAAGGGAAAGACACCCTCAACATATACCCCTCCAAACTCTCTGGGGTAAGAAACTGCTGCCAAGATCATGGTATGCAGTTACAGAAAAACACAATTTAGATACAAACTTCGGTGGAGGTCTAAATGTTCCCTTGAGGAAGCAGATGGGGTTTGCCCAGCCTGTCTTGGGTATGACCACATTTTGCAGGGCTGTATTTTCAGGCTGCAGCAATGGGGACAGCTCAGGAGCCACACTCCACCCTGGAGTAGCCTCCTGAGGGGGGAAGTGTAGCCCATCTCTCTGCTGCTTACACATGGAAGAGAATTTGCTCTAGAAGAGAAGACACAATGTTGACAGAATCTGTTTCCCCTTATCCAGCGAATATATGAAGGGAGGGAAAATAAGCATTGGAGAGAGGGTCACAGTCAGAACTTTTGAAGACAAAATTTGAGCAGAGGGAGGTTTTGAAAAGATTTTTTTTTTCAAATGAAACATGATGACAGTTTGAGTTAGTCTATACAGGAAAGAATTGATGCAATTTTAATACAATATTAGTGTCTCCTATGATCCATTAATCTACTCTAGAAGCAGTTTACTGTAGGTATTAACATGTTGAACTGTGAACACAGCTCTATTGTCTCAGGGCTTTTTCGTCCTTTTTTTTACAGGATTTCTGCTCTTGGACAAATCACAAGGCTTCTGGGTAATTCATAGTGTGCCTCTGTTCCCTCCCATCCCTGAGGATGGTTACGGGTATCCAGCTACTGGGGAGTCCTTTGGACAGACGGCCCTCTGTATAACCTTCAAATATGACCAGTTCACTGAAATAGGTATGAAAAGCTTTGCCCTAAGAAAGCCTTTGTCCCACCACAGCTCTCTGATTGCTTTCCTTGAGGCTTCACCTCAAAAATTCATTGTTCTTGACTTTTGTTGTCAGATTATGAAACCAAATGGGGCCTGGAGAGAGCATTCTTGGTTTCAGTTATGTTTATCCAACGATTTCCTGTGTGAATGTGGGAAATTTGCTCTTCCACTCGGTTTCCTTCTCCCCATGGGGATTATTAGGATAATAATAGTCACAAGTGCTTATCAAGGGTAAATTAGTCTGTGTATACAAAGTGCTTTGGAAACACAAAGTAGGATGATTAATAATTTTTAACAGTAATAGCTCATTCAGCTACAATCACCTGCAGTTCTAAAAATGTAAGGCAACTACAGCTTGAGCTGAAGGAGTAGCCTTTACTCATCAGAAATATGAAGTATGGAATAAATATCACCTAGAATTTCCCCAGATATTTTTTGCCACAAAAATCACTAATACTGAATACATAAAAAAAACCCAACCAAAACCAAACAAACAAACAAACAAAAAACACAAAAAAAAACCAACCCAAAATATATACCTGTAAGATTCAGAACTATGTGACAGTGATAACTGGTACTGGAATCCTGAAAAGAACTGTCAAAAGGCATTACAAGAAGTCATGCTGGCATGCTCCTTGCCGCTCTTCACACTGTTTTTTCACTTTCTCAGTTACAAACCTCAAATCCTATTAATGAAGCACACATGCTGTGCAAATTGCCAGGGTGGCCACACCTTAGAGCAATCTAAACCAGGTTCCTGTTTGTGGAAACACATCTATGAACGTGTTTAGGGAAAGAGGACAAGAAAATGAGATGCATACACTAGTGCTTTTCCTGCCTCATCCTCCCAGCTTCTGATAATGTGGTTCAGATTTCCTGAGCCAGAAAGACTGGAATGTTCCTGATGGACTGGTCTTCCCTGAACTCATCTAATGAGCCCATTTGTTCCCTAGCTCTTTATGATATCCATGGCAAGGACTTCTACAGTTAAGCTGAGCAGTGTTCAGAAAAGTGAATTTCTTCTACAAATTCAATCCAGATGCTGAAACTCAAGTTCTGTTCTCCCTAAACCCAAACTAGACCCTTGGGCAGCTGTTCTGTTTGCATTTGGCAGCTGTAACTGACTGGAACCACTTCTGTAAATACAGACAGGTTTGGATTTACACATGCTGTCTGAGTGCTGTGTGGCTGCACAGAGGCTTGAAGATGAGCACGGGTGGAAGTGGCAGTGGACCAAGACCACCAGTTATCAGTTCTGCTAAAAATGAGGCGTGAGTGGAAAAACCTGAGCGTGCTCTCCCAGCCAGTCTATGTGCTGCAGGGCCACCTGGAATACAAAGCAATTACACATATTTTTGGTTGGTAAAATAAGATACTTTAATGCCAAACTCATCCAGAGGTAGGCAGTGAAGATTAAGAAGGACTTACGTTTCCTTTCCAAGGCAGAACTTTGCTCTCTTGATTGCTTTGCTTTAGCCCATTTTAATTCTGCATATGTTCATTTCTGTGGGTTTTTCTCAGACCAACAGATGTTGAGTTATAATCCTGGAATCTACAGTTGTTCCATCCCTAACATCTTCCAAGCTGATCTCCCAAATCTGCAGAAGCTCTGTGCAAAGTCCAGGCTGCCCGTGGCCCCCTTGCGCCACCTCACCAAGCTCCAGTCAGCTCATGGGGAAACCTTCCTCCACTTTGCAAAGTCACACTCATTCATAGATGGTAAGGGAACCTGTTGCTCTATGTATCACACATTCTCAATTAATTCTTAATATATTAATTAATATATTCTTTGACAATTAGTATTTTCTTTGAGGGGAAAAAAAGAAGTTCAGCTTCACAAATTAATGAAACAGAGGACAAGGAATGGTGTCCCATCTTAATGTTCTCTCAGCCCCACAAAGCAAAAAGCTGTCTAGTCCATCCTAAGGTGTTCAACAATGATATTTTCAGAAAATTTATTTCCTGTTATTGAACGATAACAACAAAGAAGAAATATGGGGCTTGAATCATCTGGGGTCTTTTTGTTATCAAGAAGATTTGCAATTTTTTTGTCCTTTCCTTTTTTTCCTGCTGGTTGTTTGTAACAGGTTTTCTAGAAGGAGAAAAATTAGAAATTAACTTCTGAAACCAAAGTCAAAATAAGGGGAAGGGGCAAAATCCCCTCTGGCTGACTTCATGCATTGCAATGAAAGGAGCGTAATTTAGATGATGTTTTTCAGTCTATTTTTCAATGAAGGAAGATGAAAGATTAATTTCACACACCCTGTGTTATTCCACAGATATCTATGTGGCCTGGATAGCTCCGGAGCTGAAGACTGATTTGTTGGCTGAATCCTGGCAGCGTTCTGGCCAAAAACTTTACTCAAATTGCTCTCTCGATTACCACGTCTACAACATAAACCTAATAGGGATGCCATTGAATTCCACCTTTCATTCCATTAATGATCATTCCAAATGGGCTGTTTCAAGGAAATACAAAGATCAGTGGACCTGCATTGGAGACTTAAACCGTGCTGCTGAGCAGGCTTGGAGAAGTGGTGGGTTCATCTGTACCCAGAATGAGCACATCTACAGTGCCTTCAGGCACCTGGCAATCCACTACGAAAGCTGCACTGATGCTTCCACAGGGATATAACAGACCATTCCTCCCATCCAGCACAGCCCTTATTACATAGAAAGTGTGTGCAATATCTGCCTTAAAATCTATTTCCTCTGTGGAAAACAGCCCTGTGAGTTGCCAGATGTGCTAGATCGTCACCTTGTTAGCTATAAAAGCAGGTGGTGTGCAGGTAAATGGTGGCTGGTTTGCTCTGGTGTGGGACCCAGAGGCTCTGTGTGTGCTGGGCTGTGCTCTGCTCTCTGCTGGCTCCTCACCATCCACGCCGGGATGGGACAGGATGGGACAGGATGGGACAGGATGGGATGGGATGGGATGGGATGGGACGGGACGGGACGGGACGGGATGGGATGGGATGGGATGGGATGGGACGGGATGGGATGGAATGGGATACGATGGGATAGGATGGGACGGGATGGGATAGGATGGGATGGGATGGGACAGGATGGGATGGGATAGGACGGGATAGGATGGGATGGGACGGGATAGGATGGGATGGACAGGATAGGATGGAATGGGACGGGATAGGATGGGATGGGACAGGATGGGATGGGACAGCATGGGATGGGACAGCATGGGATGGGACAGCATGGGATGGGACCCTGTGGCACGAGGCTGCACCAAAGCACATCACTGTGGGTGCCCTGCACAGGCACCCCTGCAGCAACTTGTGAGTGGGGCTGCACATGGAATGGGAAGGACAACAGAAACCCCTCTCCTGAGCTGGATTGTCAGGAATGGGCAGTTGGCAAGGGACAAGTACCCCAAAATGCCTCAAAATCACCCCGTATTTCAGGTGCTGTTGAGATAAATCACAGCATTTCTGCTCAGTTTGGGCTGAATCTCTTAAAGTGCTGATTAAATCCAGACAGGGAGATGAGTAGATCTGTGGATAGGAAGGCTTCATTTTTACGTGATTCATTTTTAGAGAATAAATGAGCTTTAAAGCATCTTTAAATCATCTATAACCAATAGCTTGGGAGTATTTCTAGTGCTTTTATTCATGTACAGCAATCTTATAAACAAATAAACATGTTCAAAATTTGAATAAGCAAAATAAGAGAAAAAACAGTCTGTTGACAGTCTCCCTCTTCCATCTGTATAGTTATTTGTGGTTTGTTACAATGTATATAGCTGCCAAGGGAAAAATCGAGACAATTAGGGAAAAAAAATAAAGAAAAGGGAAGAAAATATTTGAAGGAAGATGTTATTTAATCTACCTTTTCACATTACAACAAATGTGACTGTTAATTTTCAGTATCTCCATTCTCAGGCTTAGGACCTGAAGTTTGCATGGAGTTGCTGTAAAGACAAGGCTAATTTGGAAAATCCTGATACACTCTTGGGTTCAGATTTCAGAAGTGTATCTGCATTATTATGTTCCTAAATATATAGGGTTCTATCTCACTTGTAATTTTTTCCTGAATTGCTAATATAAACTCCAGTCTGAAGAGTTGGCTGTCCCACTAATATTTCTGGTTTGCTGTGTTCATAGTTCCTACCACTGGTTCTCCACAAGTGTCTTAAAAGGAATTAGACAGAAAGAAATGTCCCACAACCACAAGAGGTTGTCAAATAATGTATCAAGCCTTCATAATGAAGGGAACTGTGCAAGAATAGATTTCAAAATTAGCCTATCTGGATCAAAGGCAAACCCGAGTCTCATAGCTCAGTGAAAATAGTGTAGATAGCTTAGATATCCTGCACAAAGTGTTTTATTTTACTTTTCTCTGCCTATGACATAACATTTGATAAATAATTTGCTTGGTAATGCTTGTGAAATTGTTTAACATATACACCTTTCATTCTTTTGCTAGCTGTGGTCGAGCAACACCTTTTGTGGCAGCAAATATTGCCAGTGACACAGAACACTGTGCTGTGGGATGGTAGGGCACCACTCAGATAAGCCAAGATAGAATTAATCTCTCTTGCCCATCTTTTCATGGCAGACACTAACCTGACCTGCCTGTCTGAGCTCTGGCATCCTGCCCGTAGGTTTGTGTGCACATGAGCTCAGTGTACAGGGCTGGCCAGAAACCCTCCACTGAGACAGTGCTGGTGAGGCTCCCCAGTGCATCAGAGAGCACCTGCACCTGTGGTACAACCTGTAATTATGGTATTTTCAAATGCTCAGCCACAGCCTTTGGATTCACAGAGTTGGAGAGCAAAGAGTCTCTGTCCCACAGGTTGTCACAGAAGTGTTGCCACAGCCCTGCTTCCCAGGCTACAGGTCACCAGTTTGTCACTTGACTTTAAGTGCTGATTGCTGTTCTTAATTATTTGATCAATTGATAGCTGGCATAAGGCTAGACTACTTAAGCATTTACTAGACTAACTTAAGCATTCCTCTTTCAGTATACCCAGGACTGGTTGCCTCCATTTTATACCTGAGGAGGTATAAAGAGCAGTGGGAAGGTGCAGAGAAACAGCTGTACCACACAGCAGTACAAGCACCTCGATATACAGAGGTGTGGCAATAAACAGGCTGCAGATCTGGTTCTCTCATGTTTTAGCTGTAAACAGCTTTAATTCAGTTTTGCTATTGTTGTGTAACTTCAGTATTTGCATATCATAGTATTTCTGCTACACACCTTATGAAACATGGGCAGGCTCTTTGTTTCCCAAAAGAGACTGATAATCAACAAAATAAACCAAATTGGTTTTTAAAGGTTTTGTAACTCAAAGGCTTTCTGTGCAAATGCAAGACCATAAGCCACTTACTCAACCTCATATGCCCTCACAGCACGCACTGTGATCAATCATTAGTGTGAAATACTTTTTGCCTATTTTATATGCATATATATATGTATTCATAGAGGTTTTAAATTTAAAATACACTGTTCTTTTTTAAAATGCCAAACACTCAAGAAATACCTGCCTGTCCCAGTGATTCTGTGTTGCCCCTGCTGCCCACCATGATCCTTTTGACTGGGCAGGCTGGTTGCTGCAGAAGGGCACATGTGGCACAGCCCCTCTGCAATTTCAGGGGGACGTGCCCAGCAAAACTGACCCTGCAGGGGGGCACAAGCACTGGACCCTGGCCTGGAGAAGGAATAAAGCTGCTCTCTTGTCTGCAAACCTGGAGTATCTTCTCAGCATGCAGGTATGGCTATTCTGACCCTTGGGCTCTGTTCTAGTTAGACTAAATGAGAACATTTATTATACATGACAATTGTTTGCCGAGGGAGTAGGAGGGGCCAAAAGAAAACATTATTAATCCACTGAACATTACTGTGCTGCAGCCAAGTTTGTAACAAACACAACAGTAGGGATTGTTGTTTGGTATAAATTGCCTTGTAATCATTTCCACAAGCTGAGGCTCAGTCCCAACACGCCTGACATGCTCGCGGGGTGCAGGAAATGCAGATACAGTCTCTTGAAATACACGCCTGCCATTTGCATCTCCTGCCCTCACCGCTGCTACTGCCACCCCAGAGCAAGGGCAGGACTGCTCAAAAAGCCGGGATGATTTTTCTGTAAAGCCCTGTATCCCTGAGGATGCTTCTGTAACACTGTAACTGTGGGTTGGTAGGGCAGTGGTTCGCTGTCCTGGAACAGTGCAATTTTACACAGACTTAATGCAAGAGGTCAACGGGTTTGACATTGAAGAAAAGCTAAACATAAAAACAAAGTGAAGGCTTAAAAATTTAAACTATGTGAGGTTTAATTCCAGCTGGGCAATTACAACAAACTGGAACACAGGCAGAGGCATTGCAGCCTGAGCCCACTTCACAGGGCAGCCTCTGTGATGGAATTGCTTCTGGTGTCTCCACAGTGACTGAACGTACCCTGCGCTCTCGTTACGGGAGTGAGGAACAGTGTAGCTGCCCGCCAGCAATCAAAAAAAGCTTTGGGAGAAATTTCTCTGAGTTTTCCCTTCTCCAAGGCATGCTAACTTAGCCTGTTGCTTGGACTTGTCACAGGGGTCCACAGGCATCCTTCTGAACCAGAGCAAAGTCTGCTTCAAAGTGTGCGTGATGGCACTTTTAAAAGTACAGCAGTCCTGCACAAATTAGGTTTTGATCATTTGATCATCAGGAGGGTTTGACCATTTCACTGTCAGTAACACCCAGTATTCCAGCTATCCTTATCAACCACACACTGCTCCCCTCTTGGCACGTATTGTGCAGTTTTCTTCTCTCAAAAAAAAAACCCCAAAACCGGGAAGTTTCCAGTAAACACGTCTAACGTAAGTGCCTGTGTCAAACAGGGCTTCCTCAGCTTCCCTGCAGCATGAAGGGAGAAGGTTATTTTTACAAAGACATATGGGCCTCTCATCACTCTCTTTTGTTTAAATGTACACAGTCCTGGCTTCTGACAGTAGTGAAATGCTCAATAACATCATTGTGAGAAATGTTTTCAATGTATCAAACCATCCTTGGCATTATTAGCATAGTCACATAATTATCCATGGAGAAACTTACACCCATATGTTAACGCCCATAAATTATTGTGTGAATCTCTTTTATACCTTTCTTTTCAGTTTCTGGGAAAGATACATCACTGGGTACTTAATATAGCAATTGCTTCAGAAGGTGTAAGCTGCCTGTGCCCGCGGTGAAATGTTCGGGAGGCAGAGTAGTGCTGGCAGCGTCATCTGAAAGCTCAGTAAGCCAGAGCCTAACTGTGCTCAGAATGTGATGCAAGAATATGATGCACCTCTTTAATTTCGCAAGAGATTTCTTAAAAAGACAGGAATTTAAAAACAAGGACGAACAGAAACTGATGGTAGGCTAAGTGTGAAAAAACACCTTGTAGGGAACAAATTCTTCATAGTACAAGGCAGAGAGCCTGATCTGAAATTCCAAGCTGGGATAGCAATATCGTGTTTTCTAGATATCCTGATAGCCTGAGTATCTTAGCCGTATCTGACACTTTTCTATTTAGACTGCAGGTACCAGATTAAAGATCTAATCTGCTGAATTTTCTCGTAATCCTTACAAATTTGGCATGAAGGCAGTAAAAGAAGTTGTGTATGAACCCAGAAATCAGTTGTAGCACTTTCAGATCTTGGCCTCAGACAGCATAATCTAACTTTTTAATGCAGACCCATTGTATGCTTATCTTTAGGGTTTTTAAATTATTTATCCCAGTATTACAAATATGCTATTCTAAGCATATGTGATATGTTCATTTTACTAAAACTGTTAAATACAAAACATTAGGACATGAGAAATATATCTCGCTTTTTATAAGTAGCTGTGTTACACTTTTACTCAAGTGATTTTAGTAAGTCCTTTCGATTTTATTTTTTTCATTTGCCTTTGCTTGACATTTCTTCCCAAGGTGTCTGGTGACTATTCTGATTCTTCTGTAAGAGAGATAAAAGTAAGGAACATTCTTCCCCTCCTTTGATCGCTTTGCAGCTTGGGAACTGCAAACCCATACTCAGATATTCAATGCTTACAGGAGCAGAGCATAGTATTTAATGTTGCATGCAATTGCTACAAGTGGTTCACTGTAGTACAGTAGTTCTAGCATTGCCTAATTTATTAATCATAGAAATGTTGCATGCAAATTAGCCACAGAGTTGTGCATCATAATACAGTAATCCAAAAATCTGTCTTCACATGTATTAATGCTCGTAAATGATGGATATCACACTACAGCATTACATGGTTTCCCCATTACATTCCAAAACTTGCCGAAAGCTCACTAAAAGCCATGTTACCGAGTGGTTTTGTTCCTTACTTCTGGCTTTCTAAAGTGTGAGAGTATTTAGCTGCAGGGCATTTTTGTGTCTTCCTTTTCCCAGGGTTCCTTTTTGGGCTAACATTCCGCCAGCCAAACATCAAGATTTCTCTTGCTGTAGTGCAGTTTAAAAAAGTATTTTTGCACTGGTATGAGTATGGTCAGCACCACTGTCCTCCCCTGCTCTGAAAGCTGCTCTATTTCACATCCTGACCTTGTAAATCCTAGGCACTCTGCAAGGGAAATCTGCATCTTTTCCTCTCTTGCTTTCTTAATGCTCCAAATATTTCTTTCAGGAAAGTCAAGGTGAGAATAAAGGAACTGACAATGTTGCATGGAATATTTTGCAAAAAAAAGACCATGGAAGAATTTCTGCACAGCAAATAGGGATAATCTGTGCAGTTGTATCCCCAGCCACTCACCAACTTGTCCTCCTCTTACTGTCAAAAGATGGGAAGAAACAGAGAAATGGGAGCAAAGAGAGTTTGCAGGAAAAAGGGAGAAGAAGGAATAAGACAACTGAAGGTGAGCAAGACAGAGAGAGCAAGGGAAGAGCAGAAGGAGCATTAGGATTGTCAACACTAAGGAGGTCAGAGACCTTGAGTGTGATGACAGAGAAACATTAGGAGTTAGCTATGCAAAAATCCAGCTTACAGGATATTTAATTTACTATCATAGATATTTAACATTTATCCATTTTACAGATACAGTCTCCACAGGCTACACCGTGGAGATAAAAATGAAAGGCATAAACTGAAGTGACTTAGCCAAGCAGTACAAAAACACAAACCAAACCAACACCCGAGAGGAAGTTGCGCCCTCTCTGTTACCAAACTATGAGAGGTGAGGTAAGGCAAAGTCAAAAGCATTAAATAGGTAAAAGTAGGTGAGAGAAATTCATAAGCTAGGTTAACCAGTTTGGACCACACATATTTGAATAAGATGCTAAACCACTCTTTTAAAAGAAGGAAACTACGATTAAGGTTTAAAGCCAATACAAAAATACAATAAAAACAAGAGACGCAAAACATTCACAGGAGTAACTGCAGATCATTTCATTACAGCTGGTGATGCTGAAGTGAGCTGCATTCATTCTTGGAGTATTGAGAGAACTGCAGGCAAAAAAAGTAATACCAGTACAAAAGAAAATAAACAGAAAGTACACAGAGATAAGAAAACTGATGCCTTTAACACTTTGCTTTGGGGATTATTATTACAGATATATTTACAGCATGTGGTCTATTATTGTCAGGTTAAAAATCAAGTTTTATTTAGAAACCTCCCAAGCTTTATGTTTTTTTCAGTATCATCTCTGATCCTACTTTGCTCTCCAGCACTAAACAAACTACCACTGGTCTAATATAGTAGTTTCTCACTGCACGTAGTGTCAAAATCAGTAAGTATTCCCAGGTATTACTTACTGTCACTTGGCTCATGGTGGCTGTTTTGTCACCTCCCGGTCTTGGGTCCCACAGAGGAATAGTGGCAGTATAGAAGCTGTAGCCCTATAAAAAGTGTCATGTTAATATCAGAGGAGGAGCTAGCCATAAGGGGTTGGCTTCACAAATGTAAATATTTCATAATTTATTTAGCAACGTGGCTTTTCTTTTTCCCCCAGGCAAAAACTTTAATAAAGGAATAGGTCTGCTGCAACAAAGGAAATAACAGCAAAAACAGAGACAAGGACACATCCTAACCCCACTAATATCAGCAGGAATTTACCTTCATCTTCAGTGGGAGCAGAACTTCAAAGACATGGGAATCACCCATAAAACCTGAAGGGTAAAATCTGAACCTTCCATAGTCTATGACACAAACTGTTTAGAGGTGGTAGCATAGTCCCGACATGATGAAAATGTCCCTAGCAGGAGTTGCACTCCTTGGCCTGACCACGGCCTTGTCCCCAGCACTGCCAGGCTGGCTGTTAGCACAGACCTCAGAGAGGTCTCATGCACAGGCAGCGTCTTTGAAAGACCTTCTCTGAGGCAGGACTACACAGCAGCTGGCCAGAGATGAACTTCCTTTTGGTGGACACTGTCTCTCTTTGTTTATGGCTACACTTTCAGTGCCCAAGTCAGGAAGAAGTGATATCCCCACCTTTAGAGGTATATTTTTTTTTTACATCTCAGTAACTTAAGATACTCTTTCAAGGCCTGTCTCTGACAGAATGAAGGCTGAAAGCTCTATCTCCTCAGTCCTACTTTGTGTTGTTAGAACTGAGGAAGATGGGCTGTGTGGATATAAAGACTCTTTTCTTCTCTAGGGAGATTTAAGATCTCCCTAGAGGACTAAGAACATCTTCTGCGTGCACACTGCTTGCTAAATGCTGTGAATGTGGGAAAGCCAGGAGGAGGGAACTCATTCCTGAGTACCTCTGCAGGTCTTGTTTTGGTACTGGCACCACACAGCAAAGTAGAAATTAAAAGAGCAGAGATACCATTCTTCTACTAACAGCAGAATTAGTTTCTCTCTCTTTCCTTTGGATGACTCCTTATGCTTCTGTTGCTGGGAGCACATAATGCAACACGGCAGCAAGTCACTGTACGTGTGGAATGTACAACCTGGAGAGGTTGTTACACCCTCAATGAGTGAGTTTACCTGTTCCTCATGGTACTATTTTAGCTTTGTGAGAAAAAGTACCCCTCTGTCCTTCATTATTCCTTGGTCACCAAAATAAGTCTGACAACACAGACTCTTTCAAATAAACCAAATTCCAAAGAATGGTAGGTGTTTCAGGAAAACAGCCCATGTAAGTGTGTACCCTAAGGCCTCTCCACTGATTTCAAATTCTATTTCAGATGTTTCTTGTGGCATCTGCAGCACCAGACCATTGCAGGCTGTATCAAGAAAGCAATGGCAAACACTTTCAGAAAAGCACCTTTAAAATAAGTATGTTTAACATATGCTAGTATGTCTGTGTACTATACAGCAACGATTTTCAGTCCCTAGGTGTAAAGACATTAGTGTAAGATTAGTAAGTAACCTTTAATAAAGCCACAAATATGACTATGAAATAGAAATTCATGCATATTTTCCATACATTTAATTTCTTAAGGAAGCCTCTGCCTCTACTGGAAAATTATAGGGAAAATTCAAAACCTTTGCTCTTTGCAAGTCAGACCCATGTTGTATGTCAAAATATACAGCTGGGCTTTTTTGAGAGATTGCTCAGGGCCCTGCCATTACAGAGAACTTGGGATTTCAATACTTCTTTTAAAATAAAATGCAGTATTTCTTTAATGCTAAATTCCTTGGATTCCAGTGTCCTCACTGTGAACAATCAGCACATTTACAATCAGTCTAAGAAGTGAGGAGTGAAGCATGTGGTTTGGCTGCTTTCAAAATCATATGCTTTTAAAATGCTATTTGAATTTGTGGGTTTAGCTTGGTAATCCAACTGAAATGACCGTCAGCTTGACAGATAGGACAGTAAAGGTGAAACACAATATCGCAGATAAGAAACTAATCTGTATTTCATGGTTCCCATCTTCTCTGGGTGTATGAGCCCAGCTCTTTGTGGGATCAAGTGACACTTAAACATAGCACTATTGAGCACAACTGGTTTGATTATCTTTGTTAAACTGGTGTGGTAAAGGCAGAGTGAAACCGAGCGGCTTCGTGGCCCTCACCGCTTACACCATAAGCAGTGTCCTCCCTAGCAAGGGAAGTTACAAGGGCTAACAGCATCTGAGGTAAGTCCAGTGTAAATTAAATGTAGTGTTGCGTAAAGCATGACAATGAGGTCAACAGAGTAAAAATTAGAAGAGCTAAACTTTAGATAAATTTATGAATGCACTGTACAAATTAATACATATTTGTGCAAAGTATTCGGGAGAAGAGAAATATATTTCCTCTGAAAGGATGCAGGTGTGGCTACTGCAATGTACCAAGGAGATTAAAAAAAAATCCTGTTGCTGTGTTCTTGTTGTGTTTGAAGTAATAATTAGAGTTTGGCGTCAAGTTTGAATGATAACTATTACTTTCTTCACACAGATTTTCTAAGCTTGAGAGACCAGTTTTCAAAAGCTCTTTAGAAGAGTTATTATGTTACAAGCATTACTCCGACATAAGAAACTGAAAGGATGATCAGAAATACTCAGGGTGAGTCCTGATTTTTCAGTATCTTCTCAGGATTTGGCTTCAAAAAGGAAAGTCAGCTTTTCTGACAGTAATCTATCATAATTAGAAATAAAAATGATGCAGTTGGCAAGTTCTCAACAGCCTTCGAAATCGGACCTAATACATTCAAAGGCACAAGCCTTTAAAATATTCCACGTGTAGACACTGTTAGCTAATATTCTCAATTAGAATGCATGCTTTTGTTCTTAAAGAAAACCACCCATGCTATTTCTTTTCCTGCTGATACAGGTTTGTATCTGTTAATGCTTTGAATTTTCTGATTTGGATACTCCCAGAGGGAGTAATTTAAACTCCCATAGCACTGTGTCCCAGATAGCTCAACACTGAAAAGCATTACAGTAAGTCTTGCATATGGCTGTATGAACATGCTACATATGAAGAGAAGCTTACACCTGAGGAACTCTAGTACTGGGAAATAAAGTATTCAAAAGTGAGGAAGTATAGAACTACGTTTGCCTATACAACTTTGATTTGGCCTGTGAATGGCTATCCTTTACAACTGGACCATCTTTTGTTTTGTGTACAAAATCTACAGCTTTCTCAGATAATGTGTAGAGGGTTTGCTGGCTTTTGATCCTTTGCATTAAGCGTGTCGTCTTCTAGTTTTATTTATTGCTCATTATCCAGCTCCATCCCAGAACTTAATTCTGTCACAGGAGTTTCCCAGAACTTAATTCTGTGACAGAAATTTGATACGTCTAGCTGAAAGAACAAGTGAGAACAAAATTTTAAATATCAGTCTCAGCCTGGATAAAAGCCTGGAAAATTATACATTTAGTTGTTAAAAAAAAAAAATCTGGAATGACATGCTGATAATCCTCGACAGAGACCTGCAAAGAGACTACAATCCTCTGAGCAGTATATTCTACTTAAGCTAAGTACAACAGAACTTGCTATTGATAAATAAGTTGTGTGCAGGATCCAGAGCAGTTTTGTTGGGATCTCCAGCAACGCCATCACTCCATCTCTCAATGATTTTGTGGTTGGCATCATATCCACAATATCAGCTTTGCAGGTTGTGTAACAAGCTAATGATGCCAGCCTTAAGGAAAAACATGGAGGTGCTTGTGGGATGACAAAGTTCCACCACACAAATACAGTAAGAAATAATTGAGATTAGGTGAGGCTGCAGTCAAACATGAAACATTAAAATACTGTTTACAAACAAACATAGAGCCAATTAAACTGAATTTATGTAAACTATTTAATTAGCAGATTAGAAAGCCTGATGTTACCTGTGTGATCTTCTAGTCTGACTTCCGGTATAATGGAGAGCAGATTTTCCTGAGCTCATTCCTGTCTGAACTAGATTGTATCATTTTAAAGGAGAAACATACATGTTGATATAAATATCAACAGAAAAATTACCAGAATTCTGGGTAACCCTCTCAATGATTAATTAGAGGTAACTATAAATTAAGATTGCAGATCTGGGATCTTTGTCTCCCAGAGCTAAGGCATGGATTTTTAAGCGGATATTTACAACACAAAATGGTACATAAAGGGCCCCTATTAACCTTCTATTTGATGAGCTAAATAGATGGAACTCCTTGAGCCCCATATTAGAAGGAGAGTATCCCTTAATCATGTCTCATCTCTCTCCTATGAAATCCTTCTAATTTTTCATCACTTTATTTGAATTTAGGACCCAAACTCCATTTACAACATTCCGCTTTTCCTTGCATTGGTGCCAGATACAGATGAAGTATAAATCTCTCTATTCTTTCTCAATATTTACTTGCTTGGGCAATCAAGAGTTGGCTTCCCTGTTCTAATCACCACATCAGAGACATAGCAATTGGGGTCTATTAGTCTCCAATTGCTTTTCAGTGACTTTGCTTCCCAGCAGAAGACTCCCTAAGAGATTTGCTGGGCCCTTGTTCTTTCTAGAACATATGTTCTGCTTATTTATTTGTATAAAGCAAAAATGCTTTCACACTAATTTTGTAGGAGAATAAGGCACAAAGGGATGTATCAGAGTTACCATGAAGTATCTGTGAAGAAAGAAACTGAGGACAGGACAGATCTCCTGAATCCCATATTGGAAGTACTGCACATTTCCATGGGAGGCTGAATTGCAAAGGCCACGGCCAGATGCATTGTCAGCTGATGGATACAATCCCAGTACTGGACTGAATGCTGTAATTTCTTTCCAGGTGTATTTAAAACTCTTCTGGTTCAATAAGAAAGCAGGGCTTGAAGCCTAACTCTCTCCTGCCAAAGGTAGCCATGCCATACCTTCTCTTTCATAAATAATCCCACACAAATTTAGGAAATAAAGTATTTTCCCAAATGGGAGAAAAATATGATCAATTTGGAAATATAGACAAAAGAAATATTTTAGCTAATCAATTTAGCCAATTCTTCCCTGTCAATTTGTACAGTAACTTTTACTGAAATGGTGCTTTTGATTCTGTCCTCTGTCTCCTACTGCAGGGAACAAAGATTGTCTCCAGCATCAGTCTGTGTTGGGTAAAGTACCAAACTTGTTGAACCATGCAGACCAAGCAAAAGAGATCCTGTGATAAAAGGTCTAAACTTAAGAGCAGATTTCACTATGAGTTTAATTTCTTTGCTCAATCAAACCCTGTGCACCAGACAGGATTGGCTCTGACAAGCTTCTACAGAAAAATGATACCAAAGAGACTGAAATCTAGGCCACAGCTACAAATAATTCTTCGGAAGCTCTCTGGATTTCCTGGAGGGCAAGGTGTGGCTCCGTGTGTGGGAGGTAAACGCTGGTGTTCTTCTGTTAGTAGTAATTAGGTGCAGCTTGAGTTTCATTAATAAGAGCTACATTTGCATGCTGGAAAAAAAGCTTATCTGACACTGGGATTATATGTTACTAGCTAAATGCCTTACGTTGTGTGTTATCTTTGTTATTTTGTAATTAGCACTTAAAAATGTCCATAATATTTTATCAGCACATAAGAAAAAAAGTTCTGTTACTGAGAGTTTATAATATAAAAGAGAAAGAAATCTCCTGGTAAATCTCCAAGTTATCCTACCAGTCTGTCTAACATTTTAGAACCACTTCTTGCATTAGCATTTGTTTTTATTAGCTTTAGTCATTTTGCTTTTGATATTGTTTATAATTACCGCCAAATGCAAAAACAGTCTTTCCAGAAATTTACCATGAACACCCAGCACTGAAATATCAGTCTTAAAGATTTGATAAACCAGTAAAGAAACAGAATCTTAATGGGGAAAAGGGCTGGGTAGTCTTAAATGGAAGAGATACTGCAATTCTAGTGACTATTCATCAAAATCTAGTGATGCAAACAGGAAAAAAACCAAACCTGTAATGTAGCTAAAAATGCCTGTTAAATTATTTTAAAAGTCCATTCGTTGCAATGTTCAACCCCATACCATATGAATATTATGGCAGTTATTCTAAAATTCTTATAAAACACTTGCAAGGGTTTTTTACTCTGTTTTGAGGTTTCATAGCATCACAGGTTTTCAGGCCAGAAGAAAGCACCACGAGTCTCCAGCCTGACCTTTTACAGAGTACAGGTGGCAATTAGATCAAGTGATGTGTACATCATTTCTGGTGGAGATAGAACAGTTCCTTTAGAAAAACAATCCATCTTCTTGATTTAAAGATTTCAAGTGGCAAGGAATACTTCCCAGGCCTATCAATTTATTTTTTTCCAAGGCTTAGTTAGTCCAAGGGGTTCTCTCTATGTTTTGATTTTGTTTTGTAATCAAAAAATGGCTCAGCGTTCAAACACTACATCTTTTAAAAGATTTGTCTTCTAAACTGAAGATTTCTATGATTATTCTCTTTATTTATGTAATTCAGGATGAGTTAGCGCTTCTGTAATTCATTGATGGGCTTGAGATTAAGGTTTTGAAGCCCCTGTAAGAAGGGTTTCTAGATGACAAATCATAGACCGGTTAACCAGTTTCTCAGTTTTTGTCTCAGGACATGCTGCTCCCCCAGCCAACCCCTACTGCTGCAGTGCTCTGCACGTGCATCCACATGGACAGCATTGCTGTGTGTTCTTCCTTGCTTTTCTCTATTGCTACTTTTCATAGTGCAGCCCTCCATCAGAGAGCTAAATTACGTTTTTCTTTCCTAGCAATATTAGCCTGCACTTAGCTATGCTAAAATACACATTGTTCAATGTGGACTAATTCCTTATCACTTTACAACATCTGTTTCTTACACAAATATTATCTTACAAATTTGTAAAATAACTAATATCTGCCTCTAGCTATTTATAAATGCTTCTCACTTACTAATAATGCCAGGTAGAAAATGATTCCTGACTATTTTTTCCCAATTAAAAATGTGAAGTATATACTCAGGACTAAGTGTAGTATAGCCAGACACTGAAATGTGTTAAAATATTTAAGCAATATATATTGCTTATTCTTGATAGCATATATGTTGATACCACGAAGTTAAGAGTGATCTGCAAGGGGAACAACAGTTTCACTTGACACCTTTTACTGTGTAACAAAATAGTTATACTTATTTCTTTAGTACCTTTAGTAGCACAGGCAAATTGTGTTGCAATAATTTTGGACAAGGAGAAAATTCTTATATATTTGGGGGCAACCTGCATGCAGAAAAAGAAGCAAAATTATTTGCTATACCAAGTTCTATTTATTTCAGAAAAATTATTCCACTACTGTACAAATATGTCCTAATGTAAAGTAACAGAAATTTAATAAATAAAATGAAAACACAAAGTAGTATATTCTGAAAAATATCTGGCTAGAAATGAGTCATACTCTAATCTTGGATAAACTCCTTTTTCCCTCCGTGAAGGAATGTTTTACTAAGGCTGCTCAAGCTATTTTTTATTGCCACCAGCAGAGAGATACAAGCACCACTTCCTACAAAGAAAACCACACCCCTCAAGAAACACAAGTTTTTCTGCATACCCACATCATTGATGAAATGTTGCCATTGTCCCTTTTACAGGACAGTTCTTTGGAAAAGGATAGTGATCTCAGAAGCAGCACAAGGAATTCAGCAAAATACCAGGCTGGAAACAGTAGATGCTTCTTCAGTACTTTGCCATGGGTAGCTATTGGATAAACTTCTGAGAAAGTGTAATGTATCGAATTACAATTTTGTTGTTCAAAGAATTTCTATTTGGGGAAGTATTCCTGTTTTCTCCACTAGGCACTTGAAACTCCAGCAACCTCCATTATATTTTTTTCCCCAGCTAATATACAATTAATGCATTATCTAGTAGTTATAATCTACTAACTAACCAGAAGTGCTGACAGACACAAGTAAATCAAACACCCAGTATCAATCAGGCTGATCTGGTTATCAGTTTAAGATAATGGCCAGCTGTGCCATCTTGCTAAATCCTGTGGGAAGAAGTTACTGTAATGTCGGTTGTAACTACATGGTTACTACTGTGTTGACATCTGTACATAAAGCAACTGTGAAATAATTTTTTAAACTCTAATGAGTTTAAAACTCAACAGTCATATGTAGCAGACTAGGGAATTTCCATAATTTTTAAATAATACATTTGCAAGGTTTTTTTGCAACAATATCATGTAAAATGCCTTCTTTTTAAAAATGCTCTCCTTTGCTTCATTTTTCCTGAGATTAATTAAGTCTTGCTCTGTCAGGCTTCCAAAAGCTTTGCTTCTTTTTCTTTCTCACATGCACATACACACACGTTCTGATGTTTGACACAGACATTTGAATGCATCACTGATTACTGCCCTTTGCATGGTACAGCAAGAGGGTACACCAGACTGAACTGCTGCACCTTCAAGAAGGGCAGGATGGGAGACCCAGAGAACTACAGGTCTGCCAGCCTCACCCCTTTCCCCAGGATGACTCTGGAGCAAATACTCCTGGAAGACATTTCCTAGCACCTGAGATACACAAAGGTGAGTGAGAACAGATGGTGTAATGTGGCTTTACTAAGGGCAAACCTTTGATGGGAAGACTGGCTCAACAGAGGAGGAAGAGCAGTGGTTGCTATTTACCTTGACTTTAGGGAGGCCTTCAGCATGGACTCCCCCAGTGCCCTTACAGTCAATTTGGAGAAATATGCAGTGGAAAAATGTACAAGGTGGATGGATGGGCTGTGCAGTAAAATGGGTGTTGATCAGCAGTTCTAAGTTCACACAAAAAGGTGGCTGGTTACTACTGGTGTCCCTCAGGGACCCATACAGAGGCCAAAACTCTTACTGTCCTTATTAATGGCCTAGACAAGGTAACAGAGTGCACTCAGCACATTTAGGAATGATACCTTTGCGGGACACGGATGTCAATAGTCTGGAAGATAAAGCTGCCATTCAGAGGGGCCTTTGTTGTTTTTTTTTTTTAACATTGTTTTGTTTCTTAAGCCTAGGACTTTTTACACAAAAGCATGAAGATTGTAAAGATATTCTCTAAAGCAAAAGCATTAAAGAATGAAAACTAAGAAAATTTCATTTGGTCCTTATTCAGCCATAGCAAAATGAACTTTTTTGGACACTCAGTCTGCATTTCTCATTTGCTGGGTGGTGAACTTGAGATATGTGGAATCTGGTATCTAGAATGATCCTGAGCATGGTGACATTAATTGTGAACCTAATTGAATATAGTTGTAGTTTAAATGCATAGTGCTAAATATTCACCAAATAACCTCTGGTATCTTACACTGGGCATTCTAAATTCATAGATATGTTTAATAAATTTTGTTTTGACAGAATTGTTTAATTTTCTCATCCATATAATGGACATCATGCCTTCTTTCCAATAAGCACCTTAATGTTTGTACACAGCTCAGGTACTGTAAACAAAAGTAACCCAGAAAAGCATATGAAAATAATTATTTTTTTTTGTGTTAAGTAATGGGACGAGGGCAGGCATTGAGAGCACATAGTAAGATCCAGTGTTAATTCTAAATGTTAAATAATACCCAACTTTATCATGCATGATACCCATTTTATCCATTAGAGAGATTGCCCTGGGTGACTGAAAACACTGAAATTAAAAGACTAGATCCACTAAGGAATGAAAGCCTGTAAGTCTCAAACATATGATCCTGAAAACTACTCACGCAGTTCCTGTGTAGGCACCTTGTAATTTTACTTTGCTCCCCTATGAAACGCACCCCTGGAGAAACAGCTCTGGGTATGCCTAAGTCTGGGAACAGCTGGAAAGAGCTAAGCAGTTTAGCATTTATTTTTTGCTTACGCCTAGCTGAGTAAACAAGAGGCTTTTCTACAGTAGAGATAACAGATGGCTTGGTACAGTATCACATACCAAGCATCACAGGCCTAGGATCTCTACAAAATACAATTGCAGGCTTTCTCTCAAAAAGTGATGGTATAGACGTCCATATTTCATAGGACAGCATATTGTGGTGGGCCCATGTCCAGCTCTATCCTCAGCTGAAGAGATGTGGGCTCAAAGACAGATTTCCCTGCCACAGGGAGTGTCTCCCACCACTCTGACCATTCCACCCTGGTGAGACCATATTATCCTTTCTTCACTGCGCAAAAAAAACCCAACAGAGCATCAGGCCAGGAGCATAGAAGGAACTGGAGTCTTCAGCCCACTGATGAGGGCACACAGACACATAGAGACTGAACCTGATCACAACCCATTCTCCAAAGCTTTTTTCTGCTTTGCTGTGTAACTTTTTAAAGTAAACTACAGGGAGAATATTGAGACCTGACCAGGAGTCCAGTCTTCATCCCTTTCAGGAAGAGAGTGCCCCAGCCACTAGCTCTTTGGTCCAGCATTTTCTGTGTATCTTATTCTGCACACAGCAATAGCTTCAGCTAGAATGTAACGTAATGGAAGAATGAAGACAATTCTCACCTCAGGAAAACCTGCAGGCTTGTGGTTTGATTGTTCCACTGAAAGGTAAGATGATAATCTCCAGAGGCTGGCAAGTCCTGTCCTCTGTATCCTACTTAACTTTTGAACTACCTGTTAAGGAAAGCCACTATCACTAACTTTGCTACACAGTTCGTGCTGTTAGGCAGTCCCTGGGAACACCTACCAGAGAGAAGCTGCGAGTGAGAGCTTGAAGAATGTTTGTTTTGAGGGGCCTGGTAAGGCTCAGACAGGATCAAAGCTGTACTAACTGCTCTGCAGTCTCAAGGCTGAGGTGTTTACAGGCATAACAAAACCAGACCTTTGGGGTACCACTTCATTATCTACACAGCACCATGAAGAGATAGGAGAGCTAGCTTTGAATGCAAGGATCAGAAGAGTGCCTTTGCCTTGGTTCAGTACTCTGCTCCTGCCAGTTGGCCTCCCAGGCACTGCTCAAGGACCCCCTGCTGCACAACACTGCCAGGCCCCAGCTCATGCTGCCCCTCCACATCAACTTGTGCTGTCAAATGTGTGAGCCCCCCTGACAGCGGTACACAGCACTGACTTCAACAGCTCAGGTAGATCCTTCATCACCAGTGTTTGGAGGGCCTAAGGATCCTGCTGAAGGTTTTGAGGGCCATAAATGTGGGCCTCAACAAAGCTAACCCTTGAGGGAACCCTAAGAAGTCACCTCACTTCTTAGTGATGTTTTGGTGTGACCTCGTGTTCCTTGTATTGCCTCTCTCCTCACCAGTTTTATATCCATGATAATACTGATTCCAACTGTGTGATATTGGACATTTAATCCTCGAGAAAAATCAGTCACTTCTCCCTTGTGCTCTACTCTGCTAACAAACACCAAGAATTCTTAGACCAGAAATACTGCAGAAACTGTACTCAGATTCTTCTGATCTTCAAATTACTATTACCACTTGGTGGTTTATCTGTTTTAAAAACAATCACAAGGAATTCTGGCCCACTGATTCCGAGGGGAAATTGCATTTGCCTTGTTAACAAGGCAATGTAACAACAGTCAAAGTTAATAATTTAAAAAACCCCACATTTACAACAGGTTTTTTAAAATTATTTTTCAAGTAAAAATCAGTATTGTGTATAAAGAAATAAAAAATCCAGTGTAGGGCATATGTCTCTTCTAATATAGACAATGGTTTGTTTGGTTTGGAGCATTGCATTTTCTGAGGCATTTTGTTCAGTATAATGGATCTTGAAGACAAGTAGTATGTCCTGTCAACCTTCTGGTAATGAAATTAAGAAAAACAAAACAGGAAAACAGCAAAATGTTGGTTATTACTTAAAAAAACCCACCCCCAAAACCCTGACAAAAAACCCACCAAAACGGTTCTCTAATAATTTATTGAATTCAGAGGCACCTTACCCCCTTTTCTCACTTCTGTCTATATTTTCTAGCTTAATTTCCTCTCCCCAGATGAATTTTTGTCATTTCAACTTCATAAATAATTTTTTCAATTGTTTGAAATGACAGGACAGAATACAAAAAAATAGTGCTCTGTTGATACAACTCAAAATGATGCTTCGCTACTGCAGCTGGGTCAGTGGTAATTTACAGAAAGGTTTTCTCCAAAATTCCTTAGTGCTGACATGGAATGAATGTCTTCATTCATCACTCTCCACTGGAGAACTTGTTGGTTTACACAAATTAAAGCTACCCATTGGGGAGGGGTGTTTGTTTTTTTGCTTTTAGTTGGTTGGTTGGTTGGTTGGTTTTAGTGGGGGCTTTTTGTTGGTTGTTTTGCTTTTAACCAAGCAGCTTCTTCCAAAAGATGGTTTCTTGGCAATGCTTTGTAAGTTGTAAAATAAGAGTATCCTGGTTAAAATGTTATTTGCACAGAACAGAGTTCATAGCTAAAACAAGCAAAAGACCCTGGAATTCCTATGAAAAAATTAAACTAATACTCTGCATGCATTTATTACTTGGGCCTTCCATTGAAGTTGTAATTGTACCTTGTCAGTGATCCCTACCAAGTCCACAATGTGTTTCTGGTGTATTTTATTGCTCCTCCCCTGCCTTAGGAAGTTCTTGTTTTTTTGTGTGTCATTATTTTGTTCCTGTGAGTCCTTGGAAGGAAAGTATTTGAATAATATTCGGAGGTTGTCTTCCCTCTTGCTGGGAGGGAGAAAAGATAATGTGTTTTTTCCACATGTAAGAACTTGGTGATCCCAACAAAAACACCATTGCAAATTGGAACTACAAACAACACAGAACTCCCTGTGTGCTCTGCTAACAGCAGTGATGAAAATCTCTGCTAATGACTTTGAGAGACACCCTTGCAATCTCTGACATCTGAATCAGCTAGAGAGATAAAGTTACAGCAAGTCCTTGGTTAACATATTCTCAACAAAATCATCCAAAATTCAATTACCATGGAAACTACTTATCCTTCAGGCACTAAGGATCACTGAAATATTTTCTCCTGACAAAAATGGGAGTGAAAAATATCAGGTTGTGCATAATGAGGCCTTTGATCTTCCATTTACATCTGTGTTAAGTAGAAGTAATCTCAATGAAGCAAGTTGCGTTGAAGAGCAATATTCATTTATAGGACAGAACAAGGTTTAAGACTTTGGCTAGTTCTGGTTATTTCTAGATGTTTTTCCATTATCTTCATATGTTAATGGTAACAATTTCTTTTTCATTTTTCTAGTAAGAGAAACATAGTAAGGCAAAATAGTGTTTGTATATAAAATTAGTAGACATACTTCAAGCTTTTAAAAATTCCTTGGGACAAATGGAAATAATCAGTCCCACTGAGGCTCAGAATTTTGTAGTCTGAGATTAAAAATGCCTCTAATTTAGCCCAGCTCCCCCCCAAATCCCTGAGTACTCAATTTCTATAAACAGAGTATGGTCTTTGCTGTGCAGAAACATTTGCACGCCTCTAAGCAGGACAATCAGCTCAGGAACAGAAAACCTCATTTCTAGCTTTATGTAAATTGAATCTCTAATTTGCAGTAGGAGTTCTTGTTTCATTTTAACATCAAGTTTCAACAGATTTTAATGGAATAAAAATAACTTTTGGGAACATTACCATCCAAACTCCTATGGTTCCTGTTAAGCAGATGCTCCCCACCCCTTAAGTCACTGTGAGCAAAAGTCTGAATGTGGAAGTGTGCACAGGGTCAGGCATTGCTGGGCCACAATGTTACTGTCACGTAAACCCATCAGTGTGTCATGTTTGCTCAAAGCTTCCCATTTTGATAGTTAACCCTGATTATAAATTACACTGCAGCAATAATTCCTATTAAATACTTTGATCTTATCTCTACTTTTGCTGCCTGCTGAGCAATGAGCCTGGCCCTGCAGGTCCCTGAAGGTCAGCAAGCTGTGCCACCCCGGCCCCGGGCCCAGCCGTGTCCACGGCACACCAAGCAACCATCACAGCGTGCCCTGGCAGCCAGGAGGGCCAACCCTGTCCTAGGGGGCATCGGGCACAGCATCGTCAGCCGGTCGAGGGAGGGGATTGTCCTGCTCTGCTCTGCACTTGGCAGACCTCACTTTGAGTACTGTGAGCAGTTCAGGGTGACACAATCACAGAATCATTGAATCATCAGGGTTGGAAGAGACCTTC